TGTATCCAGTGACGTTGCCGCGCGATTCCGCTAGCGCGTTCGGGCGGGCACCCGGGTGGGGGGAGGCGGGCGCCCAGCCCAGGGGTGGGTTTGGGGGGGGTTCCATTGGCCGTCCCTCTCGCAGCCTCGTTTTTGGGGCACGTCTTCTGCCTGGGAGGCCGGAGTCATAGGGGGGCTTGGTCATCAAGGTGAGAGCAGCTTGGGCTCGTCGCGTCGGGGGGCTCCGCGAGGAGCGAGAGGGCCCAACGCCTACCTGCTGCTGCAAGCGCAGTGGCGGTTGCGCAGAACAGTGCGAATCTGGTTGTACACCAGGTCATGTATGCAGTAACCCCTTGCTGTCGGGTAGGGAGAAGTGACCCCGCATCTGAGATAGGAAAGGGACCCCCTAGAGGAACCCCCCCTTACCCTTGAGAGTTGATTACCCTGGGCCAAGACAGGGTTGGTCGGGGGAAAGGGGTGGCGAGGCGGAACTTCACAATCGCGGGGAAACGTACGAATCGACCTTGTTATCCTCTCATGTTGAATCGCGACACTACCACGGACGTGTGGCAGGGATCTGGGATTCTCACATTTCAACGTTTGGCACGGCCATGGGATTTTCACTGTTTCAGTTTTCCCATGTCACGCACGTGTTGCAGGGCCATGTTTTTTTTCAACATTTCCGCTTTTCCAAGGCACGAACGTGTTGCAAGACTATGGTGTTCTACTCCCAGGGTGCCAGCATACCATACTAACATATCGTCGTGCATACGAGTTGACGTGACGAATCAATTAATTATCCCCCGATCCCTGAACTTTATTATCCCTCTCTTGTGACTATCAGGGGTAAGTGGCTAGACACTTTACCATGTGCAAAGCGTTCACGTCTGGATGTCGGTTCCAATGCGCCATATTGGTTAGGTTTTTTAGATGGGGTCAGAGTAAATGTGGTCGGAGGATCACGCCGCATCGCTGATGCCGGCGATGCGGTTCGATGCGGAGCCTTTTTTATGTTGATGTTTGATGTATCGCCGACGTCGCCGATGCGATCCCGGTGCATCGCCGATGTAACGGCGGTGTATCGGTCATGCCCCGCTGATGCGGCGTGACCTTCCGACCCTATCTACTCTGATCCCATTTGGGAGGCCATTTCACATGACAGTCCCCGTGGGGCAGTTGGCAGTTGTTGTTGTCTGCGGCGCACCGTGAATGCTGATCAGATGAAACAATTGAATTGTGCAACATGTGTTGAAATACATCGCGTGGCAAATGGCTGCGACGGTGTGCACAGTGTGCAGGGGGGACTGCTACGTTCAGGTCCAGTGCAGACCGTTGAACCTGACTCGGAGGGTGGGGTGTGGAGGACCTTGACGCCCATCGGACACCCGGGACGGCTCAGACCCCGTAGGCCAGACAAGCAAACGATCAGACGTCGTTTCGAACGTGGGCCGTCCAGCAGCTCGAGGCCAGCCCCCGGAGCCTGAAAGTTGCCGACGAGGATCCCGCGTTGTCTTTTCGACCAGCGAGGGCTCTGGGACAGCGGGACCCTTCTCGTCCTCCCGATCTTGCCGAGAGCGCTAGGTGGTTGCAATATTATTGGTTCTTGCACGGGCCCCTTAGAGTTCTTCAGTAGATTGGTAGTGTCGTCCAAGACGGGTTGCGGCGATCAATCAGAACTCCATGGGCCGTATCGTAATGCAGCGATATCTTCTCCTAGAGGCATGGGCAGGCATGCGTGAACGGACTATGCTTTGAGTGTCTTTTCCCTCCCTGTCACCCGCCCCTCCCTCGTAGCTGCGGCGTCGGATCTGGCGATGGTGGAGGCAAGAAGCATTGTTGAGCTATTGGTATGTAAGCCTGCCAGCGTGCGTTGTTTTCTCCGGCCCTCTTGGCCCCTCTCGCTGCGCTAGCGACCTGCCTTCGTACCTGCTGCGGGAGCTGAGGCCTGTCGCCAGCCCGCTGCCGAACAGGAAGCCCTCGTCTCTCCTCTCGCCTTCTCCTCCCTCCCAGGAGCAGGAGGACTTCCCGGCGCCTCATCCCACTTCTCCCCGAGAATCTGGAGTACAGTCGGGGCCCTGAAGAAGGAACCCTTTTCGTTGGGGAGGGGCTCCGCGTTCCTTAAAAGTGTTTCACAGCTTGCCTCAGGCTTCCCTTATGTTTCCGATAGGAAATCGAAGGTTAACTATTGGAAAAAAGGGGCCTCGTTCCCGATTTAGGGTTCCTTAGGTCAACGTCCCTACTGTAGGGCCTCGGGATCCGACGTCCTTCCAGCAGGGACTCTCCCTGGAGGCCCTTGCGCGTGGCAGGGCGGGGCCCGCAGCCGCACCGCCGTGGGCTCCCAGCGACGCCCCGCCGGGCCGGCGACGGGCGATCCCGGCGGATGCTGGCTGCGCGCAAGGCCGTCGTCGACGTCCTGTTCGTCGTCGTCCGCCGTCCTCGTCCGTCGTCGTCGTCGTCCGTCGTCGTCGCGCGTCGGTGTGCGTCGTGTGTCGTCGACGCCCGTCGTCGCCCGCCGCCGCCCGTCGTCGTCGTCGTCCGTCGCCCCTCGTCCCTCGTCCTCGTGTGCTCCCCGGTCTCGTCCTCGCGAAGCCCTCCAGAGCAGAGACGTCTGGATGCTCTTGCAGCTCGGACGCGTCTGGACATGGGGCCCCAGAGGTGGTGACCTCCGCTCGCGCGGTCCGCAGCGGGGCGGGCCACCAGGCCTCCCCTCGGTGACGAAGGGGCCATCGGGGGTCGGTGCGCCCCCCGAAGCGAGTCCCCACCGGACGTCGCCTCGCTGCATTCTCTCCAGCGGCCATGCGGGAAGATCCGAGCAGCCCCAGGAGCGCTCTCGGCGAGGCGCTGGGAAGCATCCGGAGGCAGGAGAGCCAAGGATGTCCAGGCGAAGTGTTGTGCAATTTCGCCCAGAACACTGCAATAGACGTTGCAGTAGGAAGGTGCTTGAATTAAATTGGGATCTGGCAGCGCCAAACACCTACGTTTAACGACCAGCGTGTACGAGGACGAGGGCGAGGCTTCCTCGTCGTCGGCGTCCCCGTCCTCGTCCTCGTGGATATCCTCGCCGGTTTCGGCCCCTGGGGGGGCCCATGACCAGCAAAGAACGAGCCAGGATGAACAACGGGCTCCAGGGACAGAGTCGGGCCTACCGTTTAGTCGGGCGTGTCCCCCTACCGGGGGATTTTCGACGAACATTAAAGAAAAAAAAAGAACAACCCAAATAATTGTCAAACAATAGTTCAAAAATTGTCAGGGAACGATTTGTTTAGCACTGTTTGGCCATTTTGGGGTCTTTTGGGGGTATTTCTTAATTTTCGTCACAAATCCCCCTGTAGGGGGACAGGCCCGACTTAAGCCTACCGGGGATCGCGCACGGAAAAAATACGGACATGATGTCTGGGTGGAGGTCCGTGGAACTCTCGTGAGATCGTGAGATTTCCAGAGTTTCCGAGGACGTCCCCGGGAGCCGGCCCAAATCTTTCTCGCGTTGAGTCCAGTCGGGGCAAGTCTGGTTGGAGGCGAGTGTTCCATGGGCCACCAACTGGACTTGGCCTCCGCTCTGGCGAAGCCAAATACGGACAGTTGGAGCAAGTCTGCTCGGAACCGTGGCGATTCATTTTTGGTGGGCCTCCAGCTGGGTTTTGCCGCTCCCGGAAATCCCAACGCCGTGGGCGGGAAGCATATCCATATCCGCGGTCTCGCGGCCTGGGCTCCTAGGCCACGGCCTCATGTGTACAGGACAGCGTTTCGCGGATGCCCCACGAAACACGTATTCTCGGGATCCCGTGTCCGCGGGATCGCGTTTGGGTGCGAAGACCGGGTGTGTTCGTTGCTCGAAGGCACCTCCATTGCTCAGATAGTTGCCATCAGAGCGCCAGTTGAGACAACGGCGGATCTCCGCTCAGAATCGCCCCCTGGAACCCTCCTGGGGTCACTCGTGACGTGTTTTCGGAGCGGCTCCAGCCGTGGCAACGAAAAGCCCCAAGGGAACCCCTAGAAGGACGACTTGTCCTCTTCCGATCCAACATGCCAAACGGGCCGCGAGGATGGCCCACGAGCTCGAACGCCGCAGCAGGACCGCGGCGCTCAGTCGATAGCGGATCGAGCTTCCCGCGGTTTGCGCACGGGAGTTTGTTTGGCATCGCTCGGACGTGTGCGTTTTTTCCTCGGCGAGGACCATCGAGGAGCATCCTCGATCATTTGGCGAAAAAGCCACGCACGAGACCGACAAAAAACACAGGGAATGGACGTCCGAGCGATGGCGAGTTTGAGGTTGTCAAAATCATACGTTCCAGCAGGTCATGGATGTTCCAGGCGTTCCGCAGAGGCTCTGGAAGCGATTGCCGCTGGATGCTCCGCAAACCCATGATGGCATCAGTATCGTCGTACTACCGTGAGGCGGTTCTTTCAGGACTGTGTTTGAGAGGATTTCGGTCTTGGAGGATCCAGTTTTTGATAAGGATGGCGGTGACATCCATGGCCGAGCCATCATTGCAGTTACATTGGCTTCCAGATCCTGGATTCAATCTCTAATGATTCCTGTATGCCCTCGCGGGCTAGGCCCCCTGGGCCACGACCCTGCGGATGCGGGGCGTTTTTCTTCGCAGATGTTCCGCGCGACACTTATCTATGCGACCGAGTATCTGCGGGATGGTGCCCCAGAGTACAGATTGCGAGGGCGCTGATACGGACAACCGATGTAGGTCTTCACTTTTGTTCCTCCCCCCCTTTCCTCTCGGCGGAGAGTAGGACTGGTCATTTAACCTCCTCCTCTTCCTGCTCCTGCTCCTGCTCCTCCTCCTCCTCCTCCTCCTCCTCCTCCTCGTAGCGGTCGTCGTCGATGCTGCGCGGCGGGTGCCGCGAAAACAAGCAGTCAGTCGCTGCTCCCTTGTGTTTGGGGGGGTCCGAAGACCCCCTTCAGAGGGCTCCTGCTGGCTGCCCGCGAGCAGAGCCCAGGCCGCCCTGCTGCTGGCCCTGGGCGCCGCCGAGGAAGCCGCCGGAGGGGGCCCGGCGGGCGGCGGCCAATGCCGCGCGCCGCGGCGGAGGAGGGGCCCGCCGAGGGCGGCCCGCTGGTGGGGAGGCGCAGGAGCACGCCCCGCGCGGAGGGCCGGGGAGGAAGGGGTCGGGGAGCGGAGATCCGGGATCGAGGGTCGAGGATCGAGGAAGGGTCGAGGATCGAGGATCGAGGATCGAGGATCGAGGATCGAGGGTCGAGGATCGAGGGTCGAGGATCGAGGATCGAGGATCGAGGGTCGACTATCGAGGATCGAGGATCGAGGATCGAGGATTGTGATGCTCCAGCCTACTTCTAGCTTTGTCCGCCAGGAAGAATCTCGAGCGCCCGGAAAAGTACCGACGCTCGAGGGTTTTCACGTGGCGGGCCCTGGGAGACACTCGCCTGACACTGTTTCGACACTGCTTCGACACTCTTTTCACACTTTTCCGGGTGCTCGAAATTATTTCTGGGATGCGGTCTTTAGGTAGGATGGGAACAACATAATTCGGGGATCGAAGATCCAGGATCGAGGATCGAGCATCGAGGAAGGGTCGATGGTCGAAAGTCCATGATCCAGAGGTCCAGGACCGACGAGGGTCGCGGGCGCTCGAGAGGGGGGTTGTCGAGGATCCAGGTCTCCAGTCGAGAGGATCGAGGGGGATTGAGAAGGTCATAGACTGTTGGAGCTCTGGATTGGGTGTAATTCGTATCATGCCGACCGTGTCTTGCGTTGTACGGTCTCTTCTTCCTGCTCCTCCCTGCGCTCCCCTTCTTCCGCGTCGACTTCTTCGCTCCACCCGGAAAAAGGGGGGACCAGGGCGAGACCGGCCCTGCGGCAGGACAGTCTGCGGCCTGGGGCAGAGCGGTCGCACCGTCTCCAGGGTGGCGGCGCCGGCACGAGAGGAGAAGCAGAAGAGGGGAAGAGGGGGAGTGGGTGGCGTTGGTCACTGCATAAGAGGAGCATGCCCCGAACAGAGCGCATAAGGGAAGCGAGCCCCGAACAGAGTGCGCACCGCGACGACGACGCCGGCGGAGTCGAGGCGCGCAGACGATCCGCACCAACAGTGATTCGGAAATGGCCCTCCCGTCAGGTTCGGTTAATGACACATCGTTGTGCGGTGCTGCATCCTTCCCTGCGCACATGCCCCCTCCAGAGCATCAGCCCGACAAGTAGCCTTTGCGCCCTCGAGCCTTTCAGAGCTCTGGGCGCTGTTCGGCACTGCCGCTGCCACCGCCACCCTCTCGTCAAAGCCATCGACTTCGGGTGTGGAGAGGAGGAGAAATGAGAATGATGACGCGGAGCGAGGGACAGGGAAAGGAGGAGCTCGCAGGAGAAAGGATGAGGCGGAAAGGTCCAGACCTCCTATGTTCTGATTTACGTCAGTGCTTGATTCCCCGAGCCCTGCAACACTTCCCAAGAACCGGTTTGTCCTTCCCGAGCGCGTGGCGAGGGCCCCCAGCAGACGCCGACAAGTACGCACAAACCTATGTGAGTACGCCCCGGATGCGAATTTGGAATAGCACCCGGCCTTTGTGGGCCCCGGAAACGGCAGGGCCGTTTTTTTACCGTTTCCCCAAAAATGTCCCTTGAAAGTGGAAACGGCAAAAAAACGGCGACCGGAAACGGCAAAAAAAAACGGTTCCAGGATTGGAACCGGAGCCAGAACCGGTCAAACAACGGCGACGGAACCGGTAAACAAAAACGGCGTCGGAACCGGCAAACAAAAACGGCAAAAGGGAACCCGTAACAAAACGGCCCTGTCGTTTTTCCAGGGCCTGCTGAGCACCCGGCCGCAGGCAGTTCGGCACACAGGGTGCTGTTGCGGAGGTGCCCGCGGCGCCCCGCGTTGCACCGCGGCGGCGGCCTCCCGCATGCGGCGGCCAGCATCCGCCGCCATTCCGCGGGCCGCGCGCGGCCGCCCTGCCGCTGCGCCCGGCGATGCCGCCCACCGGCCGTGCCAACGAGCGCCTGGGATCCCCGCGGCCCCGGCCACCTTGGCAGATCTGGGGCTCGCGGACGAGCTCCAGCCGCAGGCCCAGAGGTTGACACCAGCAGCGGCGGTGTGCCTCCACCGAGGGAAGAAAATCCCGATCTCGGCGATGGGCGTTCCCGCCCCCGACGCGGCCGCGGGGGCGGCTGGGGCCGGAGGCGCCCCGGCTGCCCCCCGAAGTGCCGGCGGCTGCGCGGCCGGGGGCCGGCGGCTGCGCGGCCGCGTGCTGCTGCTGGTGGCGTTATGATCGATCCGTTCGCCCCATGCACCAGGCGTGGCGAGCGAGGACCCATGCGCCGCCAAGCTTCTGCGGGGGAAGACACACAAAAAGCAAGCAAAAAACACACTGTGGGGAAACACACACACATTTGTGTTGAAACACACACACACACACTCATCTGTGTGTTGTCCCCACGGTGTGTTTTTTCCCCACAGCTTTTTCCCCACAGCCTGTGTGTTTTGTGTTTTTTGTGTTTCCCCGCAGTGGCGAAACCTCCTGGTTCGCCCATAGGCCTACGAAGAGATTTTCTAAGAACTCGTTGTGGTTTGCACGAACTGTTATCATAACATGTTTGGCCGAGACTGTCGTGTTTCAACACATCAGGTGAATGTTCTGGAACCTCGTTTTTTGTCCTTGGAACATTTCTGAGTTCTGAGAAAATTTCGTGGTAGGACTATAGGAATGCGGGAACGGCCGGTCACTGCACAAGAGCTACGTGGACTCCCCCGCGCAGCTCGAGAGCGGGTGCACCAGGCGAGGCCGGCGCGGATGCACCCACCAGGCGGGGCCCCTGCGGGCGCTCCCACGGGGCGCCCGTGCGAGGAGCCCGTCGGGCGCACGCTTGCAGCCGCGGACAGCGAGGGTGGAGGAGACGCAGGGACGGCCTTTTGTCGGGGATGGCCGGCACCCCAGGTAAGGAGACCCGGTTGGTGTTAGGGCCCCAGAGCCTTTGAGTTGGCCAGAATCACTAAGCCAGGTTTGCCATAGTTTGTATTTTTTCGGGCGGCGGCAGTTCCGGTGAGTGGAAATGGGATGGGGGGGCGCCCCCGGTACAGATCACTAAACCAGGTTCCACGAAACCCAGTTCTGCCAACGCCCGATTTGGGGCCGTTCCCGACGCGGGTGGGGAGGGCCAAGGCCGCTGAAGCGAACGAGACCGAGGGCGGGTCCTGGGGTCCTCGCGCACGACGTTCTCCTCTGGCGCATGGGCGCGCGGAGCGGCGATGGAGGACGTGCTCGGCGGAGCCTTCCAGGACGCCGCCGTCCAGGCCTACAACGCCGCCGTGCTTCGGCGCTTGCCCAGATGCCGCCGTCGGCTTCGGAGCGTGCGCGAGTTGAAATCCATCGCGGCCATCATCGAGGCCATCTTGCAGGGCAGGGTTTTGACGGCCCTAAACATCACCGTGGGAAAGGTTCGAGCTCAGCATCGGGGAGGGCAAGTGGACGAACGCGCGCTGGCTGGAGTTGATCCCCGTGAACACCGTCGGCACGTGCGACAGGACGGACCTCCGGACGGGACGCGCGGCGCGAGGAGGGTCTGGGCAGGCGGGCCGCAGTCTCCTTGTTTCGGCGCCACCCGCTCGAAGAGCGGAGGCCGCCGGCGGCCCCCGTTGGCGCGCGATCGAAACGGGAAAAAGAATGGAGGGCACGACGCAGGGAAGGGGGGGCCCAGCCCGCGGCGGCCTCCCCCGCGAGGGCGCCGCCAGGCGCCGGTGTTGGAGCGGTTCATCCCAGCGGGCATCGACCGCGCTCTCGGGGCACAAGTTTCTCAGTCGGTCGCCGCGCTTCCCCGGCCCGCCCCCCGACAGGCCAGGCCGGAGTGCGGCTGCCCCGGAGTCGGGCGAAAGCTTCGGCGGCGGCATCATGGTGAGGCGGCGCCTGGAAGGACTTATGTTCCCCTGAGTTCGCGGACCATGGCTGACGGATCCGTGCGCGTCGGAGGAGGCGTTCGGCCGCTCGGACTCCCGCGATCGCACTGGGCTGAAAGGGGCGGCCGCCCTGGGGCTAAAGGCCTCGAGCGGGCGGGAGGCGCTCCTTGGTCAAAGCCTCCGAGTTGGTTCAGACATGGAAGGCGGACGCGTGCTCGCGCGAGCCAGTTCTCGACGTGCGAGGCGTGCGGCGCCGACTGGCCGAGCAGCTCTCCACGGGGGCATCGGTCGCGCAGCATGGGGTCGTCCTCGTCGGCCACGTCGAGGGCAGACCCAGCGGCATGGAAGCACTCAGCCGCATGGCCGCGCGGCGCGTGGCAAGATTTGCTATCCCGTGTCGCGCCCGACTCGCTTGGCCGGCCTCGCCGCCGCGCTAGCGATTGTCAAGAGCCGCCGCGGGGCCTCCAAGTGCCTTCCCTGTGTCCGCCTCGAAGCGGGGATCGACGCGTGGGTCGAGTTCACCGCCTTGGTCACGAACTGCGGATTCTTGGGGGGCCGCGCCTCTTCGCGCAGGCACCTCCAGCGCGCAGCCGGGCCATATCGAGCGCCGCTGCTGTCCTGGGCCCGTTTCCAGAGGTTTGCCGCCATCTTGGTAGACATGGGGGGCCCCCGCCAACGTCGGCCTCCTGCCGCTCCACGTGCAAGGCACCGCCGTCCCCCCTTGTGCCCGGGAGTCTTGTCCGTGGGCTCGCGGTCTCCAGACGTTCGAGGCCTCCGATGTCAGGCCCGCAAGTTCGGAGCGACGCATGGCATTCTGGATATTATCTCGCCCCCTGCGCCTGCCGCGCGCGACTTCTTCGAGTCCGGGGCGCGCAGAAGCGCCTCGGCCGGAGCGCTCCGCGGGGGTCTCTGAAACGGCGGGGAAGCGGCGCGAGCGCAATTTATCGAGGCCCCCCGCGCACCACTGCGAGGGCGAGACTTTTGGGCACTGGCCGCCGCGGCACCCGGCGCATGAAAGCCTATGGGCAGAACCGCGCGTCAGGTTCCCGCTGGGGCCGTTCCCGACCCGACGGGCGTTTCCCAGGTTCTCGCCTCGAGGATTGCCGGCCAGCAGCGAGCGCCCTATGGTTATCGCGTAGATTGTTCAGGATTTCGCTATCGCGGGAGGCCTTCGGCGCGGTTGCGTTGCCGTTCTTTGGGCTGCATGGGCGAAGTTCGACGCGGAGGCGGAGCGCGCCTCGACGAAGAAGTGGAGCGAGGCGCACGGCGGCCCCTTCATCTCGCTTGCTCCGGCGCTGGCTCCGCGCCGAATCACTAGGGGTGGCGCTCTCCTGCGCGTTCCAGAACCAGCAGCGCATCGACGCCCCATGGGCCCCTTCTTTTTGGGTGGAGAGTCTCGCGGCTTCACCTCGAGCTTCCCAGGCGACGCGGGGCGCGGGAGCTCTTTGCGCTGGACAGCCAGCCAATCGGCCATCGGAGCCCTCGCGAGGGGCCGTTCCTCATCTAGCGACCTCAACCAGGTGCTTCCCCGCATTTCTGCCATCGGCGGCTATGCTGATCCCCGCGCATTTCACGGGGGGGCGCCGAGGAAGGGCTGCTCCGCAGACGAGCCAAGTCGATGGAAACAGTGGAGGGCGGGGCGCCCCAGAGCAGGCGCCGCCGCCGCGGACAAGCGGTTGCAGGCTCCCTTGGCCGCGGCGGCGCGGCGGAGCGACGCCCTGCGGGCAGGTTGCGTGACCTCTCGATTCGGCCAACCACCCGGCTCCGGCATTCTGACGCTGTCGGGAGCTTTGTTGCAGCACATCCTCAGCTCTCGCCGCCGCTGGCCGAATGCAGCATCGGCGCCTTGCGCGGTGCTATCAGAGTTCATCGAGGAAGTATGTGAAGCGGGCAAGCCTCGCTCCACTTCCGCGGATTAGCCTCTCTGGAGGCTATGATTTCGTTCCTGAGCTTCGAGGCTGCGTCCGAGGGTCGCGGCTGCGCCCGACGGTCGCGGCCGACCGCGCGGTGTCTGTCCGAATCGTTTTCGCGAGCGCCGCCGCTTCCGAACCTCTGGGCGCGCGCGTTCGCGCAGTGCTACTTTGCGCAGCAGTGGCGTTGCGCTGGGCTCTTCGCCCACCTCGCGTCCGTCGCGCCCGCGCGGCCCTTTTAGCTCCCCAGCGCCGCCCGGCCTCACTTCGCATGCTCTGGCGACTGGGCGTCTGGGGCGCGGGCCCTTCCCCGCGGCAGAGGAGGCGCGCGCGGCGGCTGCTTGGAGTCGCTTCCGCTGCTCTACCCTTGGATTGTCAAACTCCTCTTATGTCTAGATGCAGCACAGGGGTCCCGCGCGGCCCCTGCTCGATGCTAGATGCGCGGGGCAGTGCCCGCAGAACCCGTTTGATCAGAGCCACTGTTCATCTCGGTCTCGATGCCGGCATCCGTTGGCGCAGCATCCGGCGGGCTGGCGCCGCGGAGCATTTCCAGAGGGGCCGCGACGTGCCAGCTCCACTTGAGGTAGGCCGCTGGCGTTCGCAGGCCACGGCCAGGATCTACGTCGCGGAGGGGCCCCAGTTGCCGAAAGAGACGGCGGCCCCGCCAGCGACGCGGCAGCAGCAGCCCCGCTAAAGAGCAGGGCTGGTTCGCCAGGACGCCGCCTCTTTGGCCGCGGTCCGCCGCACCTGTTTGGCTGGGGCGGGCGTGGGTCGGCTCGTCGAGCACTGCCGGCACAAGGGGGGGTGGGCGCGCCAGAGGGCCCCCCCAACCTGCAGTTAATGGGTGTCGCAGTCAGGTGGCCTGCAGCTCTGCTGCCCGCCATCGCTCTGCGCCCCCCTCCCCGCTGCCGCGCCATAGGGCGCGCCTCTTCGTCGAGACGTCTTCCCGCGCGCCGCCGTTGCAGGAGCGGCCGTGCACGCGGTATGTTGGCGCGGATGAATTTGTTCTTCGACGCGTTGGAGGCGCGAAGATGCGCAGTCGTCTAGGGGGCCCCCGTCGACCGCCCAAAACTCAGGGGATCAAGCCGCATTCGCGCGTGCACATCCAGGCGATCCAGGGTGCATTCAAAAATCCGAGAGAGCGCGTTTTGTGCTCGCTTGGATGGGGCGGGGTGGAACCCGATCCCCCCCTCCCTGAATGGGAGGGGGAATGCAGGGCGGGGGGGAGTTCGACCCCCCCCTCCGGTGACGGGGGGGGGTTCGACCCCCCCCCCCCCTCCCTTACTTTTCCTCTATCCCTCTTTATTAGGCCAGCGCCTGCGTCGGCGGCGGCTGGCGGCGGCGGCGGCGGGGACGACGAGTTTGTTTTCTGGGCGGCGCCTGCGGCGGCGGGCGGCGGCGAAGGGGAGCGGTGGCGGTGGTGGTTGTGGGTTGTGGTGGTGGTGGTGGCGGTGGTGGTGGTTGTGGTGGTGGTGTGGTGGTTTGTTGTGGTGTTGGTGGTTGTGGTGGTGGGTGGTGGTAGTGGTGGTGATGTAGTGGTGATGTGGTGGTGGTTTGAAGTGGTAGTGGTGGTGGTGTGGTGGTTAGTGGTGGTGGTGGTTTGGTGGTGGTGTTGTGGTGGTTTGTGGTGGTGGTGGTGGGTTGTGGTGGTGGCGATGGTTTGTGGAGGTTGTGCTGGTGGTGGTGGTAGTGGCGGCGGCGGTGGTGGTGGTGGTGGTTTGTTTTGGGGTTGGTAGTTGTGGTGGTGGGTCGTGGTGGTGGCGGTGGTGGTAGTTGTGGCGGTGGTGATGGTGGCGTGGTAAATTGTGGTGGCGGTTGTGGTGGTAGTGGTGCTGGGTCTTTGTGGGTGTGGTGGTGAGTTGTGGTGGTGGTGGTGGTTGTATGTGGTGGTGGTGGTGACTGTGGCACTGGTGGTGGTGGTTGTTGTGTGGTGGTTTGGTGAAGGTGGTGGAGGGTTGAAACGGCGGTGGTGGTGGTAATGGTGGTGGCGGTGGTAGTGGTGGTTATCGTTGCTGCGTCCCCGCCGTCGCCAGCGCCTGGCCGCAGCCAGCGCCGGCGCCTGCGCCGGTGCCGCGGGGGGGGGGTTGCCCCCCCCCCCCCCCACACACCCCCTTGGCGCCAGGAGGGGGGATGTTTGAAACCCCGCCCCTCCCATTGGGTTGCCTCTGGTCATCGTCGCTGCGTCCCCGACGTCGGCGCTGCTGGCGGCCGCCGGCGCCGGCGCCGACGGGGTGGGGGTTGAACCGCCCCCCATGGAAAGGGGGCGGTTTCGGGAACAGGGGGATTTGGGGGGGGGGGCCCTCCTGGTTTTCATCGAATGCGCCGAGCTTTAGGGGGGGCCCCCCCAGTTCGAAAAGCGCCGCCGAATGTTCCCAAAGCAAGCGCCCTCGAAACGCGTTTTCTAAGAGAACTCCAGGGAGACCTGGCGCACATCGCGGGCACTCCAGCGCGAGCCCAAGGACAGCGGAGGTCACAGAGCCCGACGCGAGACCCCTGCGCGGGGCTCCGGCAGCGCGACTTCCGAAGTCCGAAGGACCGCATCGGTTCCGTGCTGGGCGCTGTCTGGCCATCTGTCACGCGCTTGGAGCGGACGTGAGCCGTGGACAGAAACACGCAGTGCTACTGCGAGGAAAGTTCTGGAGTTTTCACGCGGCGCGCAACACTTGCGTTTTGGCGTGGTGGATCGATTTGGACGCCCGGCATGGGTACGGACAAATAGGTACGATGCCCAACAGCAGATCGCAGATGCTGTTCATTATCGACAGTGGCCGCTGTTGGGCAGGCGACTTTCTGTCCAGATGGATGCCACAACCCACCAGACCACCCCAACCCATCCCCAATGCCCAAATGTACCCTGCATCTCTTGTGGGGGATATCGGGGAACATAGGAAAATACGCACACGTGTACCCCCCCATCCCTGAACTTGGGTCTTTGGGTTCGGTTGGGGTGGTCTGGTAGGTAGTCAGGATAGCACCCGCGGCGACGCCGACAGCGAATCTGGTTCAAATGGACAAGAAGTCCTGTCGGCCTTCACCCCGCTCTTGCCGTACCTTTGTGGCCCTCCAGAATCGAGGCTTTCCAGACGTGGTCCGAGTAGATTGGGACGGAGGATCGGCGCCGCACCCTCCACGCCGACGTTTCCGTTGCATCGCCGACCTCGGCGATGCGTCGACGATGCGGCGCGATCTTCTGACCACCCTCCTTCGGGCGAAGGGCCCAACCATACACAACCGTCAGTGCCGCGAAGCAGGTGGGGCCGCCGAAATGGGCGGCCTGCCACAGGAGCCTTCGTTTGAGCTCCCTGGGAGGCCACGGAGCGTGCGAGGAGTGTGCCGACATGGGCGGGGGGACGCATGTGGACCCTGCCTTGAGAGCCTTCGGTGGAGTTCCCTGTGGGACCAGGCCGCGAAGCGTGCGGTGTGCCGAAGTGGTCAGGGAACGCATGCGAAGCCTGCCTCAGGAACTCTTGGTAAGTCTCCCTGTGCGGCCATGGAGCGTGCGAGGGTTGCGCTAAGGTCCGGCGTGGGGAGGGGCGGGGGCGCATGCAAAAACCCTGCCTCAAGAAGAGCCTTCGGTGGGGCTCCTTAAGGGGCCGCGAAGCGTGTAAGCGGTGTGCAGCAGGGAACGCCTGCGAACACTGCCCATTGGAGCCTTCGGTGGGGCTCCCTATGGAGCCACGGAGCGTGTGAGGGGCGTGCCGCGAAGTGAGAGAGACGGGAGGGAGGAGCAAGGAGGTGTCACGCGGGAGTCTGCTGATTCAACACGAGGACCCAGCACCACAGGATGGTTGGGAACGAAGCTGAGGATGATGATGAAGACGGCGATGGGGAGGGAGGAGGGAGGAGGGGGAGGAGGAGGTGGGGAGTGACGCGTGTCGCTAGACGACCGACCCCTCGCCGACCACCGCGCGGAGGAGCTCCCCGAGCTCGCGGAGCTCCGCCGGCGCGGGCGAGTGGAGCTCCGCGCCGAGCTCGCCGGGGCCGAGCTCGCCGGGGCCGAGCACGTCGGGGGACGCCGTCGTCGTCGCTCCGACATCGTCGTCCATCGTCGTCGTCGTCGCCGTCGTCGTCGTCGTCGTCGCGTGCGTCGCCGTCGCCGCCCGTCGTCTTCGAACTGGCAGGGGGATGCCGGGCAGGCCGCGGCTTCGTTGCCGTGGTGGCCAGGGGTGGGCTTTCTCGTAAGCAGTGGTGATTTTTAACGGGGTTTGCGCGGCATGTTTGACCGCTGCCATTGCGGATGAGGAAGTGTGGCTTTCAGAACTTCGTTTGCAGTGAATTGTGTGACCGATCCTTCGTCAAACAGATTTGGGTTGTGGTGTGTTTGTTTGGTTTCGCCACGGGACGTAAAACGCGCAGCGTTCCTGCCACATAAATGTATGTCAAAGTAATATTGTCGCTTCCAGTTTGTTTTTTCGCGCGGATCCTTCGCCACATATCAGCGTGTGACAGTTGATAAGTTGACATCTGGCCCGCCGAGTAATGTTGCAAGAACCTCTTGTGGTTTCCACGGACTGCTCCAACATTGCTGGCCGATGCCGTTCTGGTCTGACGTACTGGCTTCATAATATGAGAGCATCGTGCCGATGTTTTGGTCATTGCTCAATTCCAAGGACAGTTTGTGGTAGGCCTGTAGGGCTGCCAGGACGGTAGGCCCTTATGCAGGTCTCGTGCGCGGCGTCCCCAGACCCCGTCGCGTCGTGACATATTTGAGACGGAATGTTTTTCTGCTTCGTTCGGCATGTGAGGGCCTTTGCCGGGCCTCGAGACTTGGGATGGCAAACTAACTGGCCCCCGGGAAGGGGTTGAGGATTCTGGGCCCTCGTCTTGAAGAAATCACAACCTCGGGGTCTAGGCCAGAGGGACCAGTCGAGACAGCGGCGGTCGGAGGGGGTCAGAGCAGGAAGCGGTGCGTATACCGCTGCTCTGGCTGGAGAGGCGCCCCAGGCGAGGTCCCCAGGTGGGCTTCTGGGCAACGTCCCCAGACGCCCTCGCGTCGTGAGACAGAAGCAAGGCGCAAGACGGACGGTTGTTGTTTTGTGTCTTCGGACTTGGAGGCCCCCACCGGGCCACGGGACTGTCCAAAAACAGTTCGGGGTCAAACATTGGTTTTTGGGAAGGGGCCTCGATTTCTGGCCCATGTCGTGGAAATTCAGCACCTCTGGGGTCTGGGTCGAGGGGGCTGGGCCAGGGGGGCCATTCGAGACAACGGCGGTGGAAGGGGGGCCCTTTGAGGCAAGGCCAGGGGGCCGATGTTTGGCCTCGGGGGGGGGGGGGCCTTGCCTCCACGCCTGGGCTCAACAAGGAGAACTGGCGCGTTTGGACCCCGGGAGGACCGCGTCTGCCCCGCGGCCCGAAGCGACAGCGTCGCTCGCCGTGTCCCGCGTCCGCTCTCCTCCTCGTGCACCTCCTCCTCCTCCTCCTCCTCCTCCTCCTCCTCCTCCTCCTCCATCCAGGGATCGCTTCTTGGAGCGCGTGCGGACCTGCGGGAGGGCCGCGCCGTTGCCTCGACGCCGGGTCGGGGGCGGCGCGGGGTGCCCCTGGCCCAGGGTGCCCGCAGGTTGTCGCTCGGTCTTCGGGGCTCTGGGGCCCTCTGCAGTGGGACTCGTGAGGGGCGCTCCGCAGCCCGTGCCTAGAGGCCTCCCGGGCGGGGTCCGAGCAGATGGGGTCGGAGGATCGCGCCGCATCGTCGAGGCATCAGCGATGCGGCTCAATGCGGATCCCGATTTCCTCCACGCTGGCGTCGCCGATGCATCGCCGATGCATCGCCGACGCATCGGCGATGTACCGCCGATGCATCGACGATACGGCGCGATCCTCCGACCCCATCTACTCCGACCCCATCTAGGAGGCCTCTATCGTGGGGGCCTCCTCGGAGGTCCCGGTGCCGTCCCTGGGCCGGGGGGCGCGGCTGGCAGCACCCGGTGTGGCGCTCCTCCCCGGAGGCGGCCCTTCCCCCAGCGCTACGCGGGCCTCCTCGGAGCTGCTTCGGGAGGCTCAGGAGGGAACAAAAACACACAGACACAATTAATCGACGATTCCCCAGAAAATATAGGAAAATATGAGAAGGGGGGGGAAGAACAAAACCCAGAACATATGGGAAAATATTGCGGATATGTTTATTTGTGTGTATTTATTTGTGTGTCCTGGGGCCCTTTCAGAGGCGTCTCGTCGCCGCTGTCGGGTCCGCCTCCAGAGGAGCGGGTTGGGGTTGGGGCGGCCCCCGGGGAGGAGTCGGGGGTCCGATTTGGAGCGGAGTCCGGCCCTCGCCCCTCCCGGCGGTCGGGGGCGAAGGAGAGGCGTGCAGACGCACAGGCACGCGAATCCAGGCTGGTTTCGAGGGTGCGCGGGGCAGGATTCAGGCTTGGAATTCCAGGGGCCCGAGAACATCCGCTTTGAAGGCAGTCTGTTCCTGGACGGCAGTTGTTTTCAGTCTAAGATTCGTGAACTGTCCAGGGCTGGCTGGGCTTTCGTGCTTTTGTCTGATCAGGGCCACCTCTTGGCCAGAGTTTTCGGGCCTGTCTGGTCTCACTTGCCGCAGTCGTCTCAGGCTGGTGAGTTCACGGCACTGGCTGCTGCTGGTGTCAATTTAGATGGGCCCGCGATTCTTTTCTCTGATTGTGCGTCGGTTGTCTCAGTGTGTTCCAGGGCGCTTCGGGACCGCCTGGGGGGTAATAGGGCCTACGCGGGCTCGGTCCTGGAAGCCTTCGCGGGTGCTGGTCCCCTCCTCCAGGGCCTGGTCAAAGTCGCCGCGCACAAAGCAATCGATGAAGAAGGAATTTCTGCTCAGGAGGCTTGGCGGAGGACGGGTAATTTTCATGCCGACCTCGTGGCAAAGCTGGGCGCAAATGTCCATCCCCAAGCCAACCCTGATGTTCTGTCTCGCGTCGAGCGCGAGATCAGGATTTCTAAGGCTGTCATACTCTTGGCAGCCAAGCTCTTGCCGCGCTGGCCGCGGCTTGACTTATCTGGCGTTCAATTCATCAAGCCCCAGGCCCTACCCGCTCAGACGTCGAAGACGCCCCATGAGTGGCGTTGGTCTGGGGAGTTTGGCAGTGCGGCACGTGCCTGTGAGGCAAGCGAGGCCAGGCGCGCCCTGCGCCTGGCCACTGTGTCGTGCCTCCTCGCCTGTGCCCGAGCCTCCTGGAACAGTTCAACCATCTGTGTGCTTTGTTGGACTGCACGGACGGCTCTTTCCTCTGTATCTGCCGTCGGTGCGGCTTTTGCAGCTCAGGCGGCCGTGTCAAGAAGCTGGGTGAACCCTGCACCTGTAAGAAGACAGGGGCAGGACTTACGGCCTGGAACTATGTAACCCAGGGCCGACACGCACAGCACATCAAGAGGGAGAAGAACGTACAGTTTTTGCCCTCTCCCTGGACTGCGCTGTGAGGAGAGGTGGTCCCCCACTGGATGGGGGTCAAGCAGAGGTCGAGCGTTAAAATCCTCCTCCTCCTCCTCCTCCTCCCCCTCCTCCTCCTCCTCTTCCTCCTCCTCCTCATCGCGCATCCCGCCCAGGAGCGTGCCGTCTCCCCATCGCCGACCGGTCAGCGGTGCGTCGCCGATCCCAGGTCGACGTGCCCCCTCCTGAGCTGGTCCCCCCCCCCGATCGTTCCCCCTTCAGGAGAGGGAGGGAGCGTACGCTGGGCTCGTGTCGTCTCGGCGCGGCGGCGACTCCAGGCGCAGGCGTGCAAGGGTGAGCGCCACTGGTGGCCAGGAATCCGACGACCTCGAACGAGTGGCGACTCCGTCGCGGGCGTTCAAGGTTGAATGCCGCCAGTGGCCGAGGATCGGGCGACATCGAACGCGCTGCGCCATGGGGACGCCGCCATGGACTAAGGTCGAACGTCTCGCGCGGTGTCAGATACCAGCTGCCACGACACGATTCTGCCGCAAGGGAGGGGTGACGCTTTCCCTACCTCTAAAAGTTGGTGGGACTGTCCCACCACAGGAGGAATATTCAAAAATAGTACATGAATAGTCTGGGACGATTTTTGAATATGTTCTCTAGCACTACTTGCTTTTCGTCCAGAGTCCGCCTGTACGGGAACACGCCCGACCTAATCCCTGCGGCGTCGCCCCAATTTTTTCTGCCCCATGGCCGACCCCTCCGCCCTCCCGCCCGGCACTGGCCGGGCGGGAGGGCCGTGGCGGCATCCACCGCGACACGAATGCCCGCAGTGCCCCTGGCATCGCTCGGACGTGTGCGTTTTTCCCTCGGCGGGGACCATCGAGGAACATCCTTGATCATTTCGCGAAAAAGCCACGCACGAAACCGAACAAAACACACGAGATGGACGTCCGAGCGATGGCCAGAGCGAGGCAGGAGGAGAAGAGGGAATGTCGGACGGGGCGAGGAGAAGAGGGAATCCTGCCCACTCCGTTCCGGAAAGCTTCCAGCGCGCCCCCGGAGCACCCTGCAAAGGCGAGACATCCCCCATAGTCCCCAGATTTCCGAGACTCGATTTACGCGTTGGTTGTTGAAAGTAGTTGTTTCTGGGTTCCCAAATCTCATCGTGTTTCAAGCGCCTCCCTCCTTCAAGGATCGGAATGCTTTTGCTGTGTTGCTATTTTCTGGTATCCGCTTTCCTGTTTTTTGTTTCTACGGACTTCTTCCGACCGACGGCTAATCTAACCGAGTCTGTCGTCGTTTTGGTTTCGTCTTAGAGTTAGGGCGAGGGAGGGCGATGGCGGGGGGGAGAACAGCGGGGAGGAAGAGGCTTGCTTTGCCTTACAATAGCCTCCTCCTCCATGGTCATCCCTCCTTCTCCTCCACCTCCTCCCCCTCCTCCTCCTCCTCCTCTCCTCCTCCTCCTCCTCCTCCTCCTCCTCCTCTCCTCCTCCTCCTCCTCTCCTCCTCCTCCTCCTCCTCCTTTTCCTCCTCCTCCTCCTCCTCCTGCTCCTCCTCCTCCTCCTGCTCCTCTCCTCCTCCTCCTCCTCCTCCTCCTCCTCCTCCTCCTCCTCCTCCTCCTCCTCCTCCTCCTCCTCCTCCTCCAGGGCCCACCCTCGAGGGCGCGAGGTCGTTCGCGCTGCGTGGGTCGCCTGTTCGGCTCCGCCTCCATCGGCTATCCCAAACTCGATGCCCTTGTGGACGTCTGCCCCTCGCGCGCCCCGAATCCCGCCCGCCGTAGATCAGGAGGGAAAGAAACACACAGACAATTAATCGGCGATTCCCAGGAAAATATAGGAAAATATGGAAAGTGGGGGTAAGACAAAAACCCAGAAAATATGGGAAACTACGGGGAATCCTTTTACTTGTGTGTATTTATTTGTGTGTCCCAGGGCTCCTTCACCCTCGCGCGCCCCGAAGCCCGCCCGCCGTAGAGCCGGGGACTGGCTCGTCGACCGGCGGCACCCAGCAGCTGGAGCTAACTAAGCTTCAGCCGAACCCGTTCGCAGGTCGTGCTTCCATGCTCCCTCTGGCTCGGAGGCGGTTGCGTGCTCGCAGGACTCCATGTTCCGTGCTGCGTCCTTCTCCCCCCGTGGGGCAGCGCGAGGGCGCGAAGATAGTCTCGGGCCGGACGAAAGGGGGGGAGAGGGAAAGGGGGGGGGGTACGAAATTTGCTGCGTGCAGCTGGTCTCCCGTGTGTTCGGAGGAAACTACCGGGAGGTCCACTTCTGGTTCTGCCCCGGTCCGAAGCCCGGCTTGATCCGGCTTACTTACTCCCGTTCATCCCGCTCAATCCCACTCAATCCGGCGCGATCCTGCGCAGTCCGAGACCCACTCCGGCGTAACAGCCCCTCTTGGGTCGGGGGTGGACAGAACCCCCAGCAGTGTCACGTCGATTAGTGAATTGTCCGTTTTCGGTTCTCGAGAGGGCGCCGTGGCCGATATTTTCCAGGCTCGCGCCCGCCAGGTTTGGGCCTCAGGTCGTTTTCACTAAACCACGTTTTACTAAAGGGGGGTCTGTTCATCCCCGATTGGGCATCAATCCTCCGGAATCTTTCCGACGAGAGCCTCCCAGCAGCTGCCTCCTCCCCCGGGGGGCGGCGCGAGGGCGCGCGAAGCTCCTCGCGCCTTGCGCGGCGCGGCGCGCGCAGAGTGTGGGCGCCGGCGGCCTATGTCGCTAGGGGCTCGGCCTCCAGAGGCCTGGCAGATTTTTGTTGGGGGGCCCCCCCCTGACCTTCCAGAGAGCTATTTTTTAGCACTGGAGGCCTAAAGACCTAAAAAACTGAGCGAAACAGCCAAAAACCAAGACGTAGAATAGCTTTGGGGTAGGTTTTTGAGTCTCGTGCTATGTTTTAGCCCTCTTGGAAGGTCAGGGTATATCGCCAGGGGCTCGGCCTCCGGAGGCCTGGCAGTTTTTTGTTGGGGGTGCCCTCGGGCCGTCCAGGGTCGGTCCCCGGGGGGGGAGGCCCGGCAGGAGGCCCGTTTGTCAGAGCGTGAATACCTACCCCGCTTTCGCTTCCAGGCAAAACCAAGTCATACCACGCGCCTCCTCGTCAAGCGGCCTTACCAGTACAGGCCGTAGTTTGGCATCGTTTGGTATCTCTTGGAAGCGAGGGTGGTCAAAAGAGAGGTAGGTTTGCTTTCCCCCTAGTTTGGGTCGTGGGTGGGTCGCAGCCCTGACCTTCCAAGAGGTCTAAAACATAGCACGAGACTCAAAAACCTACCCCAAAGCTATTCTACGTCTTGGTTTTAGGCTGTTTCGCTCAGTTTTTTAGGTCTTTAGGCCTCCAGTGCTAAAAAATAGCTCTCTGGAAGGTCAGGCAGGTTCTCCACCTGGAACGAAAGCAAAAGAAACCCGCCGCAAGCGCCGAAAGTTTTGGGTGGGTCGCGGGGTGGGTCGCGGGGTGGGTCGTGGGTGGGTCGCGGGTGGGTCGCGGGTGGGTCGCGGGTGGGTCGCGGGGTGGGTCGCGGGGTGGGTCGCGGGGTGGGTCGCGGGGTGGGTCGCGGGTGTGTCGCTTGGTGGTCTCGGGGTCGTGAATATCCGGGGCGGCAAAGAGGAGGTGGAGGGGGAGGAGGAGGAGAAGGAGGCGGAGGAGAAGAAGACGAAGAAGTGGAACAGAAGGAGAAGAGGAGAAAGGGAGGAGGTGGAGGGGGAGGACGGATGGTGAGGCCTCGGGTTGCGCACAGACAGCCCCCCTAGTAGTCCCGGCTGGCCTGACCACCCCCCGAGTCTCGGGGGCGACAAAGAGGGGGGTGATGACCAGGGGGGGGGATATCGTGGCGGGTGCCATGGTATTTCCCCAGATTTCATGGCGCCCCTTCTCATTTCATCGCGTCCCTGGCCCGCCCGCGTGGCCGCGCACATGCCGCCGGTCATGATTTGCACCCCCCCCCTCTTGGGCATCCCCCTCTTGGCCGCTCCCGAGTGAATGGTGGCGCGCTCTTCAAAAAACGTTTTGAAACAGCGATGATTTACCAAAGCGGGAAATGGATGTACTGCGTTGCGCCGCCGAGTCCGAACAAGGCAAAACGTCAATTAGTAAGCGCAAACACCGGCTGACTAAACTCAAGAGAGGGTTTTTTGAATCCGGGGCCGTTTTCCTAAATCCCAGATCCTAGCATTATCATGATCTGAGTGGCTCGATCAGGAGGGGCCCTGGGAGCCGAAGAGGAGCAAAACTTAGGAGGGGAAAAATACACATACACAAGTCATCATCGATTCCCGAGAGACTATGGGAAGATATGACAAGTGGGGGGGAAGACACAGACCAAGAAATTATAGGGACAAATTGGACATCCTGGGGTTTGCAAGTATTTCTTTGTGTCCCTGGGCCCCTTGAAAAACACCATCAACATCAACTTGTGCTGCTCCGCGCGGATTTGGTGGATCGGCGCCTGGGCCCCCCCCCGGCGGCGCCTCCGGTGCCGCTGGCGCCGCCCCTGACGCGCTCCGCGCGCCGGGGAGGGGGGTCGAGCGCGGATTCAAGAAGCCCGCGCGGACCTGCGAGTTTGTATGTTTGTGTCCTTTCCCGTTCCCCTAGAGGGGCTCTGGTGGCCCATCCTGGACAGGATTCTGGTCGAGGTGAGCAGGAGGAGGCGGCGGAGGAGGGTCGAGCAGTCTCGACTCTCCTCAGGACGTATATTAGTCAACAGTGTGTGTGTGTGTGTGTTTACTCCGTTTAGCTCCACGCATAGATCATCACATCGCCTGGGTCGTGTCGAAGGCCTTCGATGGACAACCGCACGTTGGCGCCAGCACATTTTCGGATGAATATCGAGAGACGCAAACATGGATGTGATGCGATGCGACCAGCGTTGCGGACACTGTCTGGGCCTAGCTGAGACCAGCAGGGTGGGGTTGTCGATTCAAGAATCTGGTTTGTTGTGGTGCAAGACATACGAGACACGTATCAAGTTAGGAGGAGGGGAGGAGGAGGAAGAAGAGGAAGTCCTCGGTGTCGGTGTCGGCGCGGGCTGGGCGTGTTGTCTCAACTCCTTCTGGGCGTTCACTTTACGGGTCTTGGACCTGGGTGTTGGCTGCTGTGAGGTTTAGAGGAAGGCGCGTGGGTGATCGACGGGCCCTGTTTCCATACGCCATCGACGCGCTCCGTCGCCAGACCAGGCGGCAATCGCGCCAGGCTTCATGGGGGCGCTGTCCCTGATCCGTGCACCTCTGGCGCCCAGGCGCCAGATCCACGACTCCGCAATCCAGTGCTAGCGTGTGCCCGAGAGGCGGGGGAGGCAGAGGAGGCAGAGGTACGGTATAGGTTCATGCGAGGGCGCGCCGGCGACGCCGGCGAAGTCATTCCAGGTTGAATTCCGTATGATAGAACGACGCGGAGGCACCGAGGGACACGGTTTCGCCAAAGGACCCGACGTAATTCACCTTCGAGCGATCGTGACCGCGATTAATTCAACGTTGAACGATCGACCTGGGGTCAAACACTTTGGGTGCGCCGGCGCCGCATTAATAGATTTGCCTTAGGAGATGAATGCCCTCCTTCTTCCTCCTCCCCTCCCTACTCATGTTTGTACAGTCGCGCCCTACCTTGAGCTTGTGCACCTCAGCTGGCGTCTCCAGGGGCCTCCCCCCTGGAGTCGCCTGGCTGTCTGGTTTGATCAACCCCCTGGGGCGACCGCACCTCGGGGGGGTGGGATGGCCGGGTGCGACGAACCCCCAGACCGAGGATTGCCCAGACCTCCGACGCCTTGACTTATTCAACACGGGGGTCCCCGCAGCTCTGGACTACTTGCCGCAGGAGCCGGTGTTTCGTGCCCGATCGCCCCCAGTGCCCTGCGACGGCCCCCAGACGCCCAAACCGACGCAAGACTTCCGACTCGTTCCGTCCATGCGTTGGCGGTCTAGGTGCCCGCGCAGGCCCAGTGCCCTGCCCGCCCAGGCCCAGTGCCCTGTCTGGCAGTCCCAGTGCCCTGCGACGGCCCCCAGACGCCCAAACCGACGCAAGACTTACGACTCGTTTCGTCCATGCGTTGGCGGTCTGGGTGCCCGCGCAGGCCCCGGCAAGAGGAGGAGGAGGAGGAGGAGGAGGAGGAGGAGGAGGGGGAGGAGGAGGAGGTGGAGGAGGAAGAGGACGAGGAGGAGCAGGAGGAGGAGGAGGACGAGGACGAGCAGGAGGGGGAGGAGGACGAGAACGAGGAGGAGGACGAGGAGGAAAGGGAGGAGGAGGAAGAGGAGGAGGAGGAGGAGGAGGAGGAGGAGATGGAGGCCGACGAGGCCCGCGCACCAGGACGGCGCCGACGGCGTGTGTGCGCAGCTCCGGAGCTTGGCGGGGCTGGCAGCCGAGGGCGCGCGGGAGCAGCTGGCGCGCAGGGCCGAAGCGGCCAAGCGGCGCCACGACGCCTTCAAGGTCTCCCCGGTCGGGATCCTGCTGCTGGCCCGGTGGCTGCCGCTGCAGGACGGGCTTTCGTCCTCGGGGTGCTGCTGCTCTGCTGGTCGACCAGAGGAGGAGGAGGAGAAGGAGGAGGAGGAGGAGGAGGACGAGGAAGAGGAGGAGGACGAGGAAGAGAGGAGGAGGAGGAGGAGGAGGAGGAGGAGGAGGAGGAGGAGGCGTATGATTTACCTCCTCTGCCTCCTTCACATCCTCCTCCGTCCTCGTCCTTCTCCTCCTCGTCTTCCCTCTCCGCCTTCATCTCCTCTCATGCTCAGTCTTCCGTCTGCTCTGTTCCCCTCGTACTCCTCCGCCTCCTCTCTCCGCCTCCTCTCTCCGCCTCCTCTCCTCATTCCCCCCCTTTGTCGTCCCCGCCGCGTCGCAACGTTTTGCACCACCTCATGGCCTTTCTTTCCCCCACCCCCTCTCGTCCCTCGTCCTCCTCGCCGCTCTCTGGAGGACGTTGGCTTGGACATGCTGGTGACCCTTGGCCAGCCTCACCTGCCACTCATCGGCCCGCTATGCTCCAACCAGGGCCTGCTCTGGGACAGGCAGGACGGGCGAGGATTGAGTGGAGGAAGAGCAGAGGGGAGAGACAGGTTCGGGAGTCGAGATTTTTGTCCCTCCTCGCCTTGGAGTCAGATGTGGGGGGCACTCGACGCTGCCGCTGGTTCGCCCCGAAGCCCTGGCCAGCACGCCCTCCAGGGCAGGTCCAGGGGGCGCCACTGCGGACCCTGACGCCCATCGATGCGTGTGTCTCTGCTGTGCAGTCCGCGGGCCCAGAGCCCCCGACCATCCCTGGGTTTGTGCTTCTTGTTGGTGGGCCACGGGGCCCACGGGCGCTTTCCTCCCCCGCCCGCAGGCACGGAACTTGCCGCGGGAGACACCTGCGGAGGAGGACCCCGACAAGAACGTCTCCCGCGGCGCGCGCGCCGAGCCCTCTGGGCGTGGCACGTGGCCCGGGCGCCCTTCCTGGTCCTCCGCGCCGTCTGGGCCGCAGCGTGGCTCCCTCCTGCGCGCCTGGGGCTCCCTTTGGATCGTGGCCCTGCTGCTCCGCGCTGACGGCGCCTGGCGCACCTGCGCGCTCGCGAACAGAGAAAAGTGCACGGAACCCCGGACCCAGACCTCGGGCGTCTCGAAAAAATCGAGACAGGTTTTTCATAGTTTTTGGCCTCTCGGGGCCTTCGCCGGGCCTCGGGACCGTCAAAAAACGACTCGGGATGAAAAGCCGGTCCCAGGGAAGTGGTCGGGAGGTCGGGGGCCCGCGTCTCGAAAAAATCGAGACGTCGGATGTCTGGGGAGAGAGAGAGAGAGAGAGAGAGAGAGAGAGAGAGAGAGAGAGAGAGAGCCGGGCCCGCGCACGGGCTCCCGCCGGGCCCCGCCGGGCCCAGGCTCGGCGCCACCGCGTGCCTCCCTGGCCGAGCCAAGCGGGCGCTGCGGTGCACGGGCCGCCGGGCCGAGTCAGGGCCAGCCTGGCAACGAGGGGTGCGTCGCGTCGCCATGGCCGGCCTGTCGGCGCCCTCGTCGAGTCATCGGCGATGCGCCGCCGATCCCAGGTCGACGCTGCCCATCCTGAGCCGCTTCCTCCCCCTTCCTCCCCCCTCCGCAGGACGGGGCGGGGTGCGCAGGACGGGACGCGTCGACGCGGCGAGTCCCCGGCGCGGGGTTTCAAGGCTCAGGAGAGGAGATGACGCAGGCAGCAGTTTGGCGGCACGCGGGGAGGAAATAAGAAGGGGCGGGCCTTCTCAGAAGGCTCGGAAATCCCCTGGCCTTCCGAGAAGTTTTTAAACACTCCCTGGATGCAGAAACAATACTTTTTCAGAAGGCGCGAGGGTTTCTGAGAGGTCCCGCCGCCCGCTGGGAACGCCTTTTCCTTTTCAGCTCCACCCCTGGCCCGCCGCGGATCAGCATGTGTAGATTTCTAGTTTGTGTGTTTGTACATATATATATATAGATATATATATATATATATATATATATATATATAATATATACGTAATGGTTTCGCCCCCTGCCGCCGGCCCCCTCTCTCGGATAATGGGCAATGCCAGAGCGAAGTCATGAGGCCTTGGCGCCGCCGTGAAGCAGCGCCGGGACGTCCCGCGAAGACGATGAGTAATCGGCAAGACAAATTGATATTATGATGACATTGGTGCATTCGGTGTTGCATTCCGAGTTTGCTCGCGTACGTTGTGCAAAAAACGCTTCCACGCAGTATTGGAATGTTGCAGATCCCATGAGTTGTTTGACCCTGACCCCACCGATCTGTGTGAGGGTTGGCACCGAATTTCAGAAATGTAGCAAATCCTTGTGTTTGTCGACCCTGACCCCGCCGATCTGCATGAGGAATGCCACCGGATTTCAGAGATGAAGCAACCCCCTAATTGTTTGAGGACCCTGACCCCGACGATCTGCGTGAACGGTGCTACCGGATTTCAGGACATGTGGCAAATCCCATTGGTTTTTCGACCCTGACCCCGCCGATCTGCAAGAGGGGTGCCGCCGTTTTGTTTTGGTATGTTATATATATATATGTTTTAGAATGACAGATCCTCTGGTGTTTTTGTTCCTGACCCCGCCGACCTGCGTGAGGGGTGCCACCGAATTCAATGTGGCACATCACTTGTGGTTTTCGACTTTGACTCCTGCAGTCTGCGTGAACGGTGCTACCGAATTTCAGGAATGTTTCAAATTCCATTAGTTATTCGAGCCTGACCCTGGCGATCTGCGTGAGGGATGTTACCGGATTTCAAACATGTAACAAATCCCATTGGATTTCCGACCCTGACCCCGCCGATCTGCGTGAGAAATCCTACCGAATTCAAACACGTGACGCATCCCAGTGTTTCTGTTGACCCTGATCCCGCCGATTTACTTGAGGGATGCCGCCGAATCTCAGAAATGTTGCAAATCCGATTTGTTTTTGGACCCTTGCCTCGGCGATCTGCATAAGAGGCGCCGCCGAATTCCAGAACCGTGGCAAACTCCGTGTGTCTTTTTAGACCCCGACCCCGCCGATCTGCGTGAGGCTTGTTGCCGAATGCCAGGAAATGTGGCAACTCCCACGGGTCTGTCGACCCTGACCCCGCCGATCTGCAAGAGGGGTGCTGCCGTTTTTTTTGTTACCTAACAGCGAAGACTGATAGGTTTCTAATGGGGTCAAAAGAGAGCATCTGATGACTCCCCAGGGGGGTCTGGGCGGGAGACGGACAGGCGAGAACCGGGCTCGTTTTAAGCAAACAGTCACACACTTCGTGCTCGTCGACCTCCCAGAACTCCATTCCCGGACCACATTTTGAATGCCCGGAGCCAACTGTAGGCCACTTCGTGCTCTTCGACTTCCCATTGCAGAACCCTATTCCCGGGCCACATTTTGGATGCCCGGAGCCAACTGTAGGCCACTTCGTACTCTTCGACTTCCCAGAACCCCATTCCCGGGCCACATTTGGAATGCCCGGAGCCAACTGTAGGCCACTTCGTGCTCTTCGAGTTCCCAAAACTCCATTCCCGGGCCACATTCTGAATGCCCGGAGCCAACTGTAGGCCACTTCGTGCTCTTCGTGTTCCCAGAACTCCATTCGTGGGCATGATTTTGAATGCCCGGAGCCAACTGTAGGCCACTTCGTGTTCTTCTAGTTCCGAGAACTTCACTCCCGGGCCACATTTTCAATGCTGAAGCAAACTGATGCTGCAGCCGAGGCAGGCTGAGGCTGAGACAGGCTGAGGCTGAGGCCGAGGCTGAAGGCAGACTGAGGCTGAGGCTGAAGCAGACTGAGGCTGAGGCTGAGGCTGAGGCTGAGGCAGGCTGAGGCTGAGGCTGAGGCAGGCTGATTCTGAGGCAGGCTGAGGCTGAGGCTGAGGCTGATGCAGGCTGAGGCTGAGGCAGGCTGAGGCTGAGGCCGAGGTTGAAGGCAGACTGAAGCTGAGGCTGAAGCAGGCTGAGGCTGAGGCTGAGGCAGGCTGAGGCTGAGGCAGGCTGAGGCTGAGGCAGGCTGAGGCTGAGGCTGAGGCTGTGACTGCGACTGCCGTTGCAACTGCGACTTTCATCGCGAATGCGACTGCGACTGCGAGAACAGCAGAATTCTACAACTGGATTCTCATGTGAATCTTACGGGGAATGCTTCCAGATATGCTCCTACACATCGTTGTTAGGTTGCTTTGCCGGGATAGTTGTTTTGTTACATATATATATGTGTGTATATATGTATATATATATATGTATACATATATATACACATACATACATGTATGTGTATATGTATATGTTAACAATGACAGATCCTCTGGTGTTTGTTTGTCCTGACCCTTGGGCGCCGTTGCGGTTGTCGCCGCGCCCCCTGCTGTCGCCGCTGCGGGTCTCGGCGGTCGGCGGCGCTCCTCCAGGCCCGCGCCGCGCCCTCTTCCGGCCCCGGGCGGCCCTTGGCGGGCCCTCCCCGGCCCGGCGGGGCCTGCCCCGGCCCGCTGGCGTTCCCGGTCCATCCCTGTCATCCTCCTCTTCCTCTCCCTCCTCCTCCTCCTCCTCCTCCTCCTCCTCCTCGGCCCTGGGCGCGGTGCTTCGCTTCCTCGTCGTGGGCGCGGTGCTCCGCTTCCTCTCGGGGGCGGCGAAGAGGGGGGTGATGACTAGGCGGGGGGGGATATTATGGCGTGGGCCAGGATATCTCCCCATATTTCATGGCGCCTCGTCTTATTTCCTTACGTCCCTGGCCCCCCCGCTGGGCCGCGCACATGCCGCCGGTCATGATTTGCACCCCCCTTTTGGACACCCCCCTCTTGGCCGCTCCCGATCGTCGCCTCGGCTGGGCTCGGCTCGTCTTGCGGCGGGTTGCGCGGGGCCCCGGGCCGGCGCCCCCTCCGCTCCGTCGCTCGTCTCGCCAGGCTCGACCTGCTTGTTTGGCCCATGGCCGGGCCCTCTGCGCCACTGTGCGCAGGGGGCACGTGGGCCTGTGGCAGGAGATCTAGGTCGTTTTGGAGCTCGGACTCCCTGGAGCAGGCTCCGCGGGTTCCCGCCCCAGCGCCCCGCGCCCACACCTGGCGGGCAGGCGGATCGCAGGGGACGTCCCGACCAGCGGTCGCCTCGGTTCGTGCAGCACGACTTGCACCGGGGCAGCGCGCAGGCCCGTTGAGGCCCCGCCCGCGCCGGCACGTTCATTTGACGTGACCCGTGGGTCCGCTAGGAGGATTTGGTTCGCACCGCAGTCAGACTGGCGCTACTTTCCACCTTTCGAATCGACGATTGCCCGCGACCGCTGGCGGCAGCAGGGGAAGCTTCCGCGCTTTCGCGACGGCGAAGTGGCCGCAGGAAGTTCAAGCGAGACGCGAACAGAACGCGCCCTCAAAACTGCTACAAGCTAGTATTTACACACGCACATGCACATATAAATACATACATACATACATGCATACATACATACATACATACATACATACAAACATACATACACACATACATACATACATACATACATACATACATACATACATATACATATATACATACACAAATGAATGTATGTGTATGTATATGTATATATATATAGATGTGTGTGCCTCTATCTCTTTCTTATATATGTATTATGTGTGTATGCATATGCGTATATATATACGTATATATATATATATATATATATGTATACATATTCATATATACGTAGCACCCCGCAGATGCGAATACGAGTGAGGGGTCGGTGGCGACGTCGGCAGTCTGCGAGACTCGGGAGTAGCCCGCAACAGGTGCCAAAGTTCACAAACATTATGCAACGAGCCCGCCGCAGGCGCCGATTTTTCGTTAATCCAACGTGGGTAAGTCGCGGGTAGGTCGCGAGTGGGTCGCGGGTGGGTCGCGGATGGGTCGCGGGATGGGTCGTTCGTGGGTCGCTGGGCGGGTCGCGGGTGGGTCGCGGGTGGGCCGCGGATGGGTCGCGGGGTGGGTCGCGGGTGAGTCGCAAGTAGGTCGCGGATAGGTTGCGGGTGGGTCGTTCGTGGGTCGTTGGGCGGGCCGCGGGTGGGTCGCGGGTGTGTCGCGGGTGGGTCGCGGGGTGGGTCGTCGTGGGCGGGTCGCGGGGTGGGTCGCGGGTGGGTCGCGGGTTGAGTCGCGGGTGGGTCGCTGGGTGGGTCGCGAGGTGGGTCGCGGGGTGGTCGCGGGTGGGTCGCGGTGTGGGTCGTCGTGGTTGGGTCGTTGGGCGGGTCGCGGGTGGGTCGCGGGGTGGGTCGCGAGGTGGGTCGCGGGGTGGGTCGCGGGTGGGACGACGACACCAAACAGCAACAACAATAACGCAGCAAGCAGAACCCTCACCTCGGATCCCAACTTCAGCCACGCACCGAGGGACAATATATGACCGTTCGGCCACCTCACTCTGACACATTCATATATATATATATATATATATATATATATATATGTATTGATGCATGTATATTTGTGTGTATGTATGTCTGTATTGATGTATGTGTGTTGGAAATGAGGGAGGACATCTGGACAGAGTGCAGAACGTTTGGGAAATCACTGGTATTGTGTCTATTCGTATATGTATATTTTGTATATATATATATATGTATGTGTGTGTCCCTGCTGGCCAGCTGGGAACGTAGGCAAGACCGGAAGCTTACCCCATGCCGCTCGCCGTGGTGTGCCTCCTGCCCTGTTCTCGGGGGCAATGTTTGGGGGACAGGTTCAGAGGGGGATGCATCGACCCCCACTCGCCCATTCATCGCCAACAGGGGTTCGCCCCCAAGTTAGCCGAACCCGCCCAGGAACGTGCGGACTTGCTTTGGGGTGCTTATCGCCGGCTCATGAGCGATGTGTCGCCAGTTCCAGCTCGATGGTTCCCCCCCTGAGCCGGCCCCTCCCAACGTTGTTTGTTCTTTAGTCCTCTAACTGTTACCCGCGTCTGCAGAGTATCTGGCGTCTCGCTGCATTTGTCGCTTTCAGCGATCCCCACCCAGCTTCGTAAAAACATGTAAAAAAGACCTGCGTTCTTTGCTTCGAGCGATCCCCACCCATAACGCAAGTTGGGATTCCCAGGGAGCGGCCCCCCCCCGCTCGGGAACGTTCGCCTTCCCCCTTGGAGGAGGAGGGCAACGCCGAGATCACAGAGCAAGAGGACGACGAGGGTGATGAGGAGGAGGGGGCCACCGCTGTTGTGGCCACTGGGTGGGGCGCCCCCAGGACCCACAGGGGACTCGGCGGAGGAGACTCGGCGGAGGAGACAGAGAGGAGGAGAGGCTTCAGAAGGAGAAAGAGGAGTGGTATGGCTGGGCATGGGGGGGAGGGTTTGGATTATGCTGGATCCGTCGAGAATGCAGATGGCAGCGCCGAGTGAGGAACGGGAGGAGGGAGTGCAGGAGGACGGACATAATCGGATGGGCCAGGGAGAGGGGGAAAAGGAGAAAGGGAGGAGGAGGAGGAAGAGGAGGAGGAGGCAGAGGAAGGAGGAAGTGGGCAGGCGGGGGAGGAGAGACGACCGCACGCAGGTTGGATGGGGCTCGGGCTAGCGCAGTCGACCGCTCCGCCAAGGCAGAACGTCTGGTGGGGGCACCTCTCGGTGGCCTTCATCGCCGTCCCCTACGTCCTGCTGTGGACCCCGAAGGGTACGGCGCAGCCACAAACTTTCCGAGCACCGCGCGGATTTGTCGTGTCGGCACGGGCCCCCCCGCTTGCCAGCCGATCCCAGAAGTGCGCGCGGACCTCCGAGAGCGCATGTTCTCGGGGGATCCCCCGCGGATGCACGCCTCCGATCCTGGCCAAGGCGGTCCTTCCTGCCCGGGCAAGGAGAGCGCTCACACCGCTCCTGGGCCAAGGATGCGTTTGTCACCATGATCGGTATAGGTGCGTAGTTTGCTGGGCCTGTTTTCCAAGGGGAAGGAGGTGGAGGAGGAGGAGGAGGAGGAGGAGGAGGAGGAGTTGGAAGAGGAGGAGGAGGAGGAGGAGGAGGAGGAGGAGGCCCTCCCCCTCCAACTTATGGTGGTGGTGGTGGAAAACAAGCCCTCCATAGTTTGCGGCCTCCTAGGATTGCTCGTGGGCGGAATCGAATCCGTATCCGCGGCTTCTTGGGCTGGGTCCCAAGGCCGCGACCCCGCGGACGCGGGATGCTTTTTCGCGGATGCCCCGCGCGCGACATATGCGTGCGCCCGCGTGTATCCGCGGGATCGTGCCTTGGAATCCAGACCACGAGTGCGCGGATATGGATACGTTTGCCGATCATGATATCTGCCGTTCTTCGGCGGCGAGCACGGGGGTAAGGGAAAGAGAAGGCTCAGAAGTCCCCCGGCCTTCTAAGGAGTTTGCTGAGCCTTCTCCCGAGACACAGAACACCTCTCAGAAGGCCCGAGGCCTTCTGAGAAGCCCCACCGTCTTCTGAGAGGGCCTTCCCCGTCTCTCTTCCTCCCTCCCTCGCCGCCGAGGCCAGGCGGAGGAGGAGGAGGAGGAGGAGGAGGAGGAAGAGGCGGAGGAGGATACTCCTCCCCTCCCCTACTCGAGGAGCGGGGAGGAGTGACATCCCTTCCTCGAGGATGCTCGCCGGCCCTCTCGTCGTGCGCGCGTGGCTCGCCCTGTTCGGCACCGGGGCTCCGCAGCGGTGCGCCGCCTGCGCAGCGTGGCTCGTGTTCGGCCCCCTCTTCGTCGTGGCGCTCGACCCGCTCGTGGCCGTCCAGTACCCCACGCGGCAGCCCAGGAAATCGGGGAGAGGAGAAGCTCAGAGGAGGAAGAGGTACCCCATTCCCTTTCCCCACCGCCCGTTTTCCCTTTTTGGGGCCCCCCTGGGCAGCCCTCGCCTCCACCGTTGGATTCGCCTCGAAATCCTAGTCAGAACGCACCCCGTGAGAGGTCCGGGGAGTAGCGGTATCGGCACCTTTTGGTTTCCCCGGAAGCAGCAGTGCAGCCCGAGAGCTCACCGTATGGATGCATCTCGGCGGCCAGCCCGGGGGGGGGAACTGCGAAGGGGTGGGCCAGGTGCCTGAAGACACCGTCGGCTTCTCGGAAGGCCGGAGGGCTTCTGAGAAGCCCCGCCGCGTTCTGAACGGGCCTTCTCCTTCTCACTCCCCCCCTCGCTCGCCGCCGAACCGCAGCCCCAGCACAAGGGCTTTCCGTCGCTTTGGGCCCCCTGGGCTGTCGTCGCGGGGCCCCAGGTGTCACAGAACAGCTCGGGACGAAGCACCGTATCTGGGGCGATGGTAGGGACTTCGGGAACTCCATACTGACACGACTCATTCTGCTTCCAGCGGTTCCCCACCGAAAGCCTCTGGCGTGTCTCCCTGACGGGGAGCGCGCCTGCTGGAACGGTGCGCGCAGGGCCTGGTGCTCTCGGCAAGCGTGGCGGCGGGGCCAGGTCGCAAGCTGCTGCTATCCTGAACAGCACCAGGTTGACGTCCCCCTGGGACGCCACCCCCGAGGGCACCCCGCGGGGACCTCCCTCCCCAGGACCCCCCCTCCCCCAGGAGGACCCCCTTCCCAGAACCCCCCCCCTCGGGGCAGGAATCACAGGGAAGGGGCGCCCCTTCGAGTCGACTGCGACGTTCCTTTGGCTCACTGTTCCTCAATGTTCTTTGGGACCGAGACGACGGCGACGACGACAACGACAGCGTCTTCCACACGCCCAAGGATCAGCGGATTATGGTAAGGTCGATTATGCTACGATGCTCGTTCGATGAGACGCCGTGAACTGGTGGCTGTTGTAGAATACCCATATGTTCATGTCTTGTTTGCGCGGATGCTGTCCAGGCGTCGTACGTGATAGTATGTATGCTATGTTCTGTTCTGGACGGGCCAGCGTGAGGTCGTAACGTCTGTCATGTTTGATATGTCGTATAGTCGGTCGGTGTGGCTACTACTTGATTATGTGGCCAGCGTGGATTCGCCGCGCATGTCGCGTACGATAGGATGGCATTACTCGTCCCGGTTATGTTTTGTTATATGAACATTTGGTGTGTTGAGTTCTGTTCCCGACGGGGCGTCGTGACGTCGTGACGCCTGTAAGGTTTGCTAGGCCGTTGATTCGGCATCCGATCGGTCGTTGTTGCCACGGGTTTTGTCATGTGGCCAGTCTTACGTCGGCATGGAGGCTGCGTTTGACAGGGCGATGTGTCTTATTAAATCATGCTCTAGGCGTGTATGCTAGTATGTCATTACTCGGTCTCTTTTGAATTCTACTCTTTGACATTTTGTTCGGTTCTTTATGTTCTGCTCACATCTGGTTTGTTCTGTTGGGCTCCCGATGCCCTTGGGGAATTCTGGCCTGAGCGCGCCCTGGGAGGGGTCCAGAGGTGGAAGTTTTATGATCGGCTTGGGAAAATGGACCCTCATGGGGAGAGGTCCCGCGGGTTTTCTTCGCTTCGGGCATCCCAGGGCTCTTGAGTCGTTCACGAGACAGCTCTCCGCTTCGCCCCCGCCGCCCGTCCAAGCGGCGAGTTCGGGCGTTCCGATAGAAATTAGAAGGTCCAAGGCCCGGCCAGGCCACTCTGGGCCACGGGCCACGACGAGTTTGTTCGATGGGTTGGCCATTCACGGGTCCTCCATGGGTTGCACCACAGGTTGCGCAAACGGCTGTGGGCATTCGGGCTGTAAATCGCTGGGGGCGTTTTTGTTTCGTTTGCAAGATCGACGTTGTTGGTCTGTTTGGGGAGCCGTGTTTGCTCGTTTTGGGACTGCCGTCTCGCCGTTTGCTATCCTTGTTCTAATTTTCTTGGACTGCAGTTTTTGTTTATGTTTCCAGTGCCGGTTAATTGTTTTTGTTGTTATTGTTCGTGTTGAGTTACCCTTGTTTGCTCGTGTTTGGCCCGACCATTGTCGTTGTTGTTATGTGTTGGGCTCCCGTTCTATATATATATGTATAGGTATATATATAGATGTATATTTATATATATATATATATGTGTGTTATGGTCGACCGCAACACGAAGAGTTGAATACGATAAGACAAACGCCCCCTGCGGTTTTTTTTTAGAACAGCGAATGTCCCGCATGCGATCCCTGGGAGTGCTGCCAGAAGTGGCCCAGGCCCAGGGCTCGGGTACGGAAACGCTGGGCACGAAGACCGAGATCCGCTTCCGCTCTCTCGGTGTCGCCGCGGACGTCGCCATCAGAGACAGAATCGGAGGGCCACAACTATACACCAACACCGATCCTGGCCCAGGATCACCCTGGGCCCAGGATCGGTGTATATGCCTTCTTGCGCAAGGCAGGAGGGCGTATACACCGATCCTGGGCCCAGGGTGATCCTGGGCCAGGATCGGTGTTGGTGTATAGTTGGTGCCTTCCTACAGAAGGCCACCTGCACAACAGCGGCCGCCGTCGGCTCTTGGCAACATGTGATGTGGGGAATCGTGCCTGGTGTGGTCCGTGGCCACTTTTGGGGGGCCCAAACGGGCGGCCCCAGCCTTCCTGGGAGGCGCAGAGCTTCCAAAGCAACCCCCCCCACGAAGCCCCGGGGACCCCTGAGACCCAGATTGGCGCGACGAGGCGGAGGAGAAGGAGGAGGAGGAGGAGAAGGAGATGGCGCGACAAGCTGGGAGCACCTTGGCCCAGGACCACTCCTGGCAGCACGCCCGTGGCGCTTCTTCGGCTCCGCCCCTGGCCCTTCCTTCGCGCGCCGGGAGGGCTGTGGGAAAGAGGCTCTTAGAGTCACCCCCAGGAGGAGCGCGAAGATGGTAGCGCACCGCGGCCTGGGCAGGAGGGTTGCCCTTCTCTGAGGCGGCCCGGCAATGGCGTGCACATGAACCGCGGGGCGCGATGCGCGAAGTTGGGCTGCCTGGGCGCTGGCCGTGGCGACGTTTCCGTTGGCCAGTGTGGTCTTTCGGTCCTCTGCAGCTCGCAGGAGCTCGTTACTCCTGAGCTTCGTGCGCCTGCGGGCGCTCCTCGTGAGCATGGTCGAGTCGCCGGCGCAGGCGGTCTTGCAGTCGCGGGTGTTCTGGTTCATGGCGGGCAGCCAGTACGTGGACGTGGCGTTTCCCTGGACGCTGCTGTTCTCGATCTGCACCTCCTGCCTGAGCTTCGGCCTCGCGCTCGTGGATGTCTGCGAGAGGATGGCGCAGCAGGATCCCTGCGGGCTTGACGACTTGTCTCCAATCGACTTGCGGGCGTCAAGCCAGCGAAATCGACGTAAATCCAATTCCATGTGTGTCATCCCATGTACATGGAGGGTGATGCAGGGATCTCTGAGGACACCTGGAGCGCATCGTGGGAGCTCCAGCGAGAGTCGAGGGACATCAGAAGTCGTTAAGCCCTTAACGACAGGAGGTCTCCTTCCTGACATGTGTGGTGGACATGCTCTGCGTCGGGATGGGCTGGAGGGCCCCGCTTCTTCACGTCCTGGAGCTCCAGACCAGGGCGTCGTACGAGTGTGAGGGCGCCCTGACCGACGAGCACTGCAGGCAGAGCGCAAGGATGAGGGCGAGTAGGAAGATGATGCTGATGATGATGAGGAGGAGGATGTTGAGGAGGATGAGGGTGAGGGTGAGGGTGAGGAAAAGGATGATATTGAGGAGGCTGCTGATGTTGATTCTGATGCTGATGCTGATGATGAATATGATGATGCTGATGGTGTTAATGACGATGATGATGCTGGTGCCCATGCTGAAGATGATGTTAAGGATGATGACGATGATGCTGATGATGATGGTGATGATGGTGATGAGAACACTGTTGATGCTGATGACGATGATGCTGTGGCCGATAATCATGCTGATGATGCTGATTATCATGCTCATGCGGATGCTTATGATGATGCTGATGCAGCTGATGATGCTGATGCAGCTGATGATGATGATGATGATGATGATGATGATGATGATGGTGGTGGTGGTGGTGGTGGTGGTGATGATGATGATGATGATGATGATGATGATGATGGTGGTGGTGGTGGTTGTTGTGGTGGTGGTGGTGGATGGTGGTCATGATAATGATGCTGCTGCTGATGATGCTGCTGATGCTGATGCTGCTGCTATTGATGATGATGGTGATGGTGCTGATGATGATGCTGATGCTGATGCTGATGCTGATGCTAAGTTAGGTGTTGCGCAAGAAGGAGCGCGAGGAGGAAGAAGGCACGTGGATCGGAAGGATGAGGAGGAGTCCCAAGTCTCACCCATTTTCAAGTAGGCATGTTCGAGGGGGTTGCACTCCTATATGCCGTGTAGCCATCGAGGAGGAGGAGGAGGAGGAGGTTGCCGCAGGCTTTTGCAGGAGGCCCGTGGCTCCGCCGCCGTCTCCGGCCCTCGCAGGCGTGGCCTCCGGAGCGGGTTGGCGCCGCCCCCCGCCGCAGACGCGTGGGAGCAGGAAGCGCACCACCACCGAACATGCCTACTTGAAAATGGGTGAGACTTGGGACTCCTCCTCCTCCTCCTTCCGATCCACGTGCCCTTTTCCTCCTCGCGCTCCTTCTTGCGCAGAACTTAGCATCAGCGTCAGCATCAGCATCATCAGCATCATCATCAATAGCAGCAGCATCAGCATCAGCAGCATCAGCATCAGCAGCATCATCATCATCATCACCACCATCCACCACCACCACCACCACCACCGTCACCTGTCTGCACGCACGAAATGGGTAGGGAAAGAATGGGCGCAATGCCCAACAGCGGATCTGGTTCACTTTGAACGGGGCTCGCGGACCACGCCGCCGCGGCCTGTGTCCACTCGAGACGGGAGGCCGCCTGCCCAACAGCGGCCGCGGTTCGTTTGGGGCAACGTTTGCTGTTGGGCATTGTACCCATTTCTTCGGTACCCATTTCGGGCGTCCAAAACCTGTCGGGGATGGACAGACCTCGTACCCTGACACGTCGATTGAGGAATTGGCCGTTTTCGGTTCGCGAGAGGGCGTCGCGGCCGTCATTTTTGCGGGTCCAGGTCCGTTGGTTTCGGTCCTAGGCCGTTTCCGCTAAGGGGAGGTCTACTAAAGGGAGGTTTGTCCACCGCCGAACCTGGGGGGTTTCAGTGCGAGCTGGTGTGCAGGATGCGGGTGTGCACGGTGTCCTGCGCAGGCGCCCGCAGCGATGTGCCCCGAGGTCCTGACGCGGCAGTCTTCTCTGCACGGGCGTCCGCGCTCCGTTTTGGGCCCCGGGGCCCTCGCACATCGCTGCGGTCCGAGAAATGGCGCGGAGAGATGGGGTCTGAGACTCCGGTCGCGATTTTCTGCGATATTGCATGTTTCTCGCTATGTCGGATCCCACCACCACCACCACCACCACCACCACCACCACCACCACCACCACCACCACCACCACCACCACCACCACCCCGGACCACCCTCTGCCTCCATCCTTCAGGTGGTTGTGGTGATGGTGCGTTCCCTTTTCTCTGCACTCTGTCCACCCGTGGGGCAGCTGCGCATCTTACCGTAGGTGCAGCCACGCGTTTAGGGATCCCCTTCTCCTCCCACCATTGCCTTTTCATGTTTTTCATATGTTCAGCAATCTGAATACCATTGTCCTTCCTCCCCTGGCGCTGTCTGGAAGATCTCCCGCCCCCTCCGCGTATTTTTTCACACAGGGCTTCAATTATTCACGCAGCATCACCGCTGCAGCGTGGGTCTGCTTTTCGGTTTCGGCGCTCTGCTCCCGTCGTTCAGAATGGCGCTGTCGCCCAAGCGCGAGTCTTTCTTTATCGTTGTCGCCCCCCTCATTTCCCATCCTTTGCCTTCCCCTGAACCTCCTTCATTTCGACCTTTCCGCTTTGGTTTCTGCTCCTGTTGCTGCTGCTGCTGCTGCTGCATTGCTGCTGTTGCTGTTCGTCCTCGTCGCTTCCCTCTCGCTCATCATCCTGCCCACCCGCCACCTCCTCCTCGAGTGCACACAGCTCCCCATCTCCCCGATTGCGCATGACACGAAGCTAACTTTCTGTGGGAGTCGCAGGTCGTCTATGACACGCCAGCGCCCGTGGATAGAGCAAAGCCAGCGCCGTCGGAAGGGATGGGGGGGGGGGACGGGGTGTCAAGAGGGGGCGCGAGCACACCTGGCTCGTCGTCTCCTCCCCTCCTCCTCCCGCCCCCCTCCTTCCTTTCTCTTCCCCCTCGCCCAGACCTCCGGCGCCGCCGTTTCAGATGGTTTTTCGGGGGCGCGTAAAACGGGGGCGCGATCTGTTTTTTTTGGGGGGGGCAGCGATGGCTGCAGAAAAAGGGCCCCTCAAGGAGCCCTCCAGGGCCCCACAGGGGGCCCCTGGGGTCCGAAGAGGGCACTTCGCCCCGCCCCCACCGATTCGCGCCCAATGCCCTCTGGCGGGGGCTCCTTCTCCACCCCTCGGGCCCCTGCTACGAGGCCCCCCGCGCCATTCGGGAGGGAGGCGGGGCCCGTCGGAGGTCGGGGCCCCCGGTGCCACGCGGCTGCCGAGCCCCTCTTGGCCCCCCTTGCCCTGCCAGGGCTCCTCTCGACGCCTCTCCTATTCCTCCTCCTCCTCCTCCTCCTCCTCCTCCTCCTCCTCCGCTTACTCCCCCTCCTCCTCCTCCTCCTCCGCTTACTCCCCCTCCTCCTCCTCCTCCTTCTCCTCCTCGTCCTCCTCCTCCTCCTCCTCCTCCTCCTCCCCCTCCGTAGCCATTTTGGCTCGAGTTTTGAGATGTCCCTGGAGGGCACATGGATGCCACTAGTCCGCGGCAGTCTTTCAGCGAATCAGGGGTCTTCCTTTCTCCAGTTCGGGGGCAGTGTCTCCAGGCGGAGTCCGCACCTGGAGAGCAGGGGCCGCGGGCCACATCATGGTTCCTCCTCCCGATGGGCGACGTGACCCGAGGGTTCCCCACTGGGGATGTGCTTGCGGGGCCGAGAAGAACTGGGCCTGCCGCGTCCGATGCCGCTGCGGACGCAATGCCCCGGCCCGCATCCTCGCCGTGGCCAAGCTTGCCGACTCCAAGGCCGGGGCGGAGGCGCCACAGCAGCCGCCGAGCGCACGTGGAGGAGGATGGCGCCGTGCCACCCTCGCCCCGTGGGCCCGTCAGCAGAATGACGAGACGGCCGAGTTTCGGAAGCAGGTGGCGAAGTTCGAGAAGGCGGAGCCTCAGGCTGATGCGCAGGCGCTCGACGTGTACGGCGATGGCGGGAAGAAGGGAGAAGTATCACGAACGGAGCTGCTCAGCTCCATCCAGTTCCTTGAGAAGCCTTCAGGAAGTCTTTCGCGGAAACCGCCGAGGCCGTCGCCCCTGAGGGCCGTGTCGATCAAGGCTTGCTGCCCCATTTCAATTTCACCAAGGAAGAGAAATCCCAATCTGTGCGCGAGACATTCGTCGATCTCGGAAAGGACCGCCGCCGAACTCTTCTCCTGCCCCGAGGAACAGGTGCGCAAAGCAAAAGCAGCCGCGACGAGGCCCCATTCCATGCAGGTAGATACGAATGGTGGGCATGGCCAAGATGCTCGGGATGTTCTTGTTCCTGGTGATGATAGGGATGCAGGAGGCACAGGCGTCAAGCGCGAGACCGATGAGCGCACGATTGACCAGACTATGGAGTCCATCGAGTTGGCTGGTGAAGATGCCGCTGGAGATGATCCCACCTAGCTGTTCAATGAGAAGTTCCTTGCCATGCGCAGTGCCAAGCGGCAGAAGGTATGGCCCACTCCTCATCAGTTGCCTCCCTGTTCATCATGGTCAGGTTCGGCCCCCTGCTGATCCTGACGCACGTTGTGTTTTCTTCGATGAGTCCTTCAACGCCCATCGTGGCACCCGCGCGCTGAAGGAGATGGTTCGGCATCAACTGCCGCAGCGCTCGTTGCTCAGGAGGTGGCTGTGATGACAATGCATGCGTTGATATCGTGACGCGGGCAGTTCGGCATGGCTGGCGGCGCATAGCTAACCCAGGTGCTGTTTCCAGCGGAACGGCACCGACACAACGTGTGGCTGTCTTCGCGCGTGACAACTATGTTCTTCGGGTCCCAGGCTTTGATTGCATGGTTGTTCATCCACGGCGTGCCCTAGGCGCGGTCGTTCCCCTCCCAGGATGGCCGCCTCTACATCAAGGCGCCAGAGGCAGGGAGGCTCGTAGCCTGGCCTAAATTGGTGCACGCATAGCAGATGTTTCGGAACCTGTAGTGCTGGCTGGTGATTGGAATGCAACGCCTCGAGATATCGAAGAGTCTGGTTTCCCTCGTGAAGCCCAGGCGGTTATGGAAGCGCCGCTTTTGCTAACCTGCATCGGTTGATTTCTTTTCGGCCCGCGTTGTCGCCAAGCGTTTGCTAGAGTCGGTCAACGTGGATGCCGCGTGGGCCAAGCGCCCCCGCAGGCCAGTCGTCCTTGGCTTCTCCGGCGAAGGCCTCAGGCAACAGCGGATGGTCTACACAGTTGCAACGAGGGATGACACTGAACGAGAATATGGGCCCGCCATGCCAGGTCCCGATAGGTCGCGCGCTGCTGCCCTTCCTGAGTCTGTGCGAAGGCTGGACGTGACCAACCCG